GATAACCTAGAAGAAATGGATATGTTCTTAGAAACATAAAACCTTTGAAGACTAAATCATGAAGAAATAGAAAACCTGAACAGACAGTAGCAAATAAGGAGATTGGATAATTAACAAAAAAAGTTCTAACAAAGAAAAACCAAGGACCAGGTGACTTCAATGTTGAATTTTACCAAATACTTAAAAAACAAATACCACCAATCATTCTTAATCTCCTCCCCCCAAAAAATCAAATAAGAAAGAGCCCTTCTAAATTCATTTTATGATGCCTGCATTACCCTGATACCAAAGGCAAACAAAGACACTATTTAAAAAAGTGAGACCAAACAAAAATATATGCCAATATCCCTGATGAACAGAGATGCAAAAATCCTCAACAAAATACTAGCAAATGAAATTTAACAGTGCAATAAAATGATCATAAACAATGACTGAGATTTTATCTCTCTGGGATGCAGGGATGGCTCAACTTATACAAATAAATTAATGTGAAATTCCACATGCACTAAAGAATAAAACCCACATAATTATATCAATGGATGCAGAGAAAAAATTTTATGAAATTCAACATATAAAACATATTTTAAGGAATATTTGGTCTGTGTGATGATAAATTGCTCTTGTATGGGAAGAGTTTTCATGATTAGTCAAATTTGGTAAGCACTGAGTTAAGACAATATTAATAATGTTTAATTGCTATCTGTTTTTATTGGGCAGTATGCAGCATCCTGTGTTAGACAGAGGCATACACTGGAGAACAAATAGATACCATCTCATACTAATAATGCTTGCAGGCCAATAAGGAAAGGAGGAACTAAACAAATTGTTACAAATAATTGACTGGATAAGCCCAAGTGAGAAAATTCCCAGAAAGGAGACTATAGAGTATTATAGAGGGTAAGGTGACAAATAAGAATAATTAACATTCTTAAAGCCTATGTCATGAGTCAGACTTTGGGCTAAGGGCTTCCCAACCCTGAGTAGATTTAACTAAAGCTAAGTGGAGCACACACTAATGTGCCTTTTGCATTTCCTGATAGGGACATAACAATAGGGCATTTCCCAGATGGATTTGACTATGGAAGTCCATCCAGGAGTATCTATTCATTTCAGTGACAGCTTTGGCAAGACTGCTGAGAGATACTGAAGTGTTCTTAGCTGGGGAAAGATATGGCAAAGTTTCATTTGCTAGAACACATTTATTTTATGATCCTGGTGATTCAAATATGGCTTTAGATAACATTTAGGGATCCCCAGTCTTGCTATTTTTCAAAATACTGACCTATTAAATTTCCTGGATAACTATCTGTATTTTAAAAAAAATTCCAGATATGTAGAAAATTGGTAACCTTGGTTGTCCCTGGGGAGGAACTAGGTGGCAGTGTAACAGGGACAGAAGGAAGATTCTTCACTGTAAAATAGTAAACTGTGACTAAATATTACACATTGAAACATCAGTATGTGAATTTAAGAAAAGTTTCCATGGGTGATCTGGATGTAGCCAAGTTTGAGAACCACTGGTAGAATTAGTGAATTAAAAGCAAAACAATATGAAACAAGTAGTTAAAATTTTCTATTTAGAATTAGATTTGATCACTGAGAAGTTATTAACCTTATACAAAACAGCTTTCCTGTGATGAGGCCCAAGAGACAGAAAAGAGGGAAGCAGAGATCAAAGACTATAAGCTCTTTTTTGGTGGGCAACCACAGGGGGAGCTGTTGAGCCCTGACCCCTCTGCTCACTAGCTGTGGGATTTTGTTTAGGACTTACCGGCAAACTGTAGGAAGTCTGTCACATCGAATCCCCTACTCTGTAAATGCCAATGGTACCTCTCCAATCATGGCAACAACCAAGAACTACCCCACAGATTTCCAAAATTCCCACTAGAACCACTAACATGGAATATGTGTATAGTATTGAACGCTGATGGGAGAGGTCACTACCAGCATGGTCAGATCCTCAGGACCATAGTTTTAAATTTTAATTCACACTGTAGAGGGGCTGTAGATATGAATGGAAGTTCTGGACAGGGATAGCCTACTATTTTTATCTTTCAAGCTTACTCCAGCTGGTTGGAAGTGGCTGCCCTTCATGTCATATGCATAATAACTTTTGAGGTAGTGTCCCTCTTTATCTGATCATTCAGGAACTGTTTACTAGGCAACCATGCTTAGTCAAGGAGCTGGTGATTAGTAATGAATAAAACAGATTTGGGCCTTCATGGAGCTAAAAATTATAGTTCAGCAGGAGCTGATGAAGGTGTCTGCCAAAGAGTCAGTTTCAAATTGACCACCAATTTATCTTACTGAAACAAGAGTTATATGAATCACTACTGACTTCCAGGCATACTCCTGGGATTTTATTTTTAAAACTTAATTATATAATACAGGTTCATTTTCCTATCAGTTGTCCTTTTCTTTTCAGAAAGAGAAACACAACATAGCTTCTAGTTGATGGAGAATTCAGATTACTTGGAATTTTTAGACGGGGGTTTGCTATGTTGCTCAAGTTGGGCTCCAATTTGTGATTCTCCTGCCTCGGCCTTCTGAGTAGCTGGGTTTATAGGCATGCACCACCACACTTGATATACCCATAATTTTTATTAGTTATCCATCTAGTTGTCTATGCCAGGATAGACCAGTTCTATGGCTCTTAAGAGGTTGTGTGAGTCAGTGTAGCTCTCTGCTCTTGGAAAATTCAATGAATGGATGTACAGCTTTAGAAGGGTGCCTGGCTTACTAAGTGTCCAGTAAGTGTCAGCTATTAGTATTATCACTCAGATCACCAAAACATCTGCAGAGAGGTAGTGCTGCTTTCTCAGGTGTGAGCCTAGTTCATAAGGTCAAGTGCCCATCTGATTAGCAAAAGTGGCTGGAGAGGATGTCAGGATGAATGAAAAAGGAAGGTCCACATAAGACTCCAGTAGTGTGTGGTGCAGACTCATTCTTCCTTGTTTTTAATGTAATATCAGATATGACTTTACTTTGGACAGTTGAAATTGTTACTTACATCAACAAAATTCCCCATCCTGGATGGGGAAGGTAGGGCTTATTTATTCCCCTATAAACAAATACAGACACACCAAGAACAGAAGCTGTTATAAACTTTTTAGGCTGTTGTGAATGACTTGTGCATCTCTATACTTGGAAGCACAAATACAATTTTCATGAACAAGGAGAATTTCAGCTACAAAACAATTCTTAGGTGGTGTGTAATTGAGAGAATGAAAAAAGAATGAGGAAGTAGTTTCGTCAGCATGGAGAGAGAGAAGGTTTCCTTCCCCTCTGAGTAAAGCATCTATTAAATGCAAAAGAAATGGCTGCATCTTTGGAGCCGGGAAGCCACAATGCCAGAATTTTGTAATAATAGCTTATTTTTTAATTTTAATTTTTTTTGAAACAGGTTCTCACTACATAGCCCAGGTTGGTCTTGAACTTGGAATTCTCTTGCCTCTGCCTCCATATGTTAGGATAACAGGTATGAAGCACCATTTTTCATATATGGATCTCACAAGAGTTTATGATACTAAGTCTTACCATAATCATATACCTCATGTTGAGTTTTTATTTATTCCTTTTTTGCTGAGGAAAGCCAAGACAAGGAATTTTTGTAGAGTTGCTTGAAGTTACAAATCTAGCAATTGAACCCAGTCTCCAAAGTGTCTGCTGTGAAAACATTACCATAGTTTTGAGGTTGAAACAAATACATAAAAATAGCAGCAAGTCATTCACTTGTTCAAATAGAGTTACACACCAAGTTTCAGTGGGAATTTACTAGCACACTGGAATGTGAAAAGGAAGCTGTCACATGTTCACAAGACTAAGGAGGAAGTAGGAGGCAGAAGAAAAAAATACTAGTTGCTATCAGTTTTTATTCTAAAACTCTGTCAGTTCTCTAAAAACAAATATTTACTGAGGACTTAGTCCATAACAGTAACAGAATAATAATGTAAATCAGAAACATTAAATAATATTGAAATAGTTACAAGTAACAGTTATATATTTATAGATGTGATTATGCTTACATTCTTGCTCCTGCCACTGTTTTAGGAGATATTAGGATTATTTTGCCTTGACTGAAAAACATACAGCAAAAGCGGTTTATTTGGTATTCTATCAACAACAGCTCAGTAAACTACAATACTGTATAATAATTATAGATGTTCACGATCTTGAGAATTTTGAAAGATTTCCAAATTCCTTTTAAGTCATCAAAGACAGAGAAATGGTATTTAAGAAATAGTTGTTTCTTAACTTTGAGGTTATTATTATTAGTTGTGACAGGGTCTTGCTATGCAGCGCAGGCTGGCCTGGAACTGGCAGTCCTCCTGTCTCAATCTCCTGAGTGTTAACTTTGAGATAGTTTAATGGTAAGTTATCTTATGGCCCTTCGAGCCTTGAAAAGTTGGGAAGTCATGTATGAGATAAAAGCTAATTCTTTTAATCAGAACATGCAATTAACCAGAAAAGCTGTTCTCTGCATTTGTACTCCTACAGACAATTTGTGAAAAAAGGAAACATGGTCAGGACAAAACATTCCTTCTTCTTATGAACTGTGCACTAAGTGTGTCCCTCTCCAATTAGCAGATGTCTCTTGGGCCTCAGACTTCCCCAAGCACTTAGGTCTCTATGACGATGCACCTGGCTGCTGGAGCGGAAACACAGGTGCTAAGGTGGTGGCTTGCATTGGGCAACAACAGGCAAGAAGCATGGCTGTAGAGAGCCCTGCAGGTTCTTCTTCAGTTCTAGGGCTCACGGCTGTACCTGCCAGCAATCTGCAGAGCCACCCAGCAGGCTTCCCTGAGTCCCCACCTCTCCAGGAAAGTTCTAGCAGGCTGGCAGCCCTGGAGGCACCAGTGCTTCTGATGGCTGTTGCTGCACTAGGGGCTGGGGACTCCCTCTGGGACTCCATTTCCGTTGATGCTTGAGCTTCACCTTCTCATGCCCTTAGAGGGCATGACTCAGTGAGAGGAGTCCATTTTGTCCAGTCTCCAGGTCTCATGCGGCCGTTCAGCATCCCCATTCAAATTACACTCCAGGGCAGCCGGAGGCACCAGGGGAGGTGAGTCGCCACCAGAATCTCACAGCCTATAAGGGGCATCTTGCTGAACAGAGGTTAGAAGAGGGGGCATAAGGAGCTTGGAGCTTGAGTTTGGTCTTTGAGCTTGGAGGATACTCATTTGCCTCCTTGGTACCCTGGAGGCTTCCCAGCAACAGTAATATCCTGGGGGCTGTATCCTTTCTTATTGAATTCCTCTTCTAGATTTCAAGTTCTTAGAGACCAGGTCCCTTTTAAAACTGTATCCCAGCATGGGAACATTGCTCAGCACATAGTTGGTGCTCAATAAATAGTTGAATGAAGGAATGAGGAAATGATACCAGCATTTGGTCCCATTGGTGAAGCCTTGATGTTACCGCCCTGGGTTGAAATGCCCACTCCGTCACTAAAGCAGCTATGTGACTCTGGGCAGGTCACTGTCTCTGCCTCACCTTCTTATCTGTGGAATGGAGATATGGGGAGTCCCTATATACTCTATATCAGTGACACACACGAACTCTAACTAGGTCAGTATATTTTGTGTGCATTTAGCTATTGTATTAAGCATCCAGCTCTACCCTTTAAGGGGGAAAGTGAGACAGATTATCTTCAGGACCCTTTCTTTTCAGGGGAGTGCAAAGCAGAGCCTTTAGTGAGGGGGAGCCCCTGCTGAGGACCCTAGGGTTAGGGCAACCAGGCAGTCAGAAGCAGGCACCCAAATGCAGAGAAGAGCAATGCCAGAGGGCATTTGAGAAATGATATTGTAAAAGTGTGCTAGCATATTCTTGGCAGGGGTATACTTCATGGCCAAGTTTGTGTGCTATTTGGAAACTTGGGTGATTTATTAGTGGCTTAACAAGTGGAGCTGAGAGCTGAGAAAAGAAACATTGACTACTATAGTGGTCATCGTGTTTACCCATGTACATTGCCCTTAATTATGCTTGTGGTATTTGGGAGTGAGAATGCAGGAGGAGGAGAGTCTTTCTCCTAGAAATGAACTAATGCTTTTGTGAGCAGACAATTAAAGCAAATCACTGAATGGGAAAAGATCAAATGACAAACATGCAAACAGGCAAGTTTTAATGCCCCAGTCGTAATGTAATTAACTAGATTGAAAGGTAGTTGTGTTGTCCTGAAAGCAGCATATCTCATGTTCATTTCTGAAATGCACAGATTGTCGCTCTTTCCTCTTGTGAACTTGATGAACCATGCTGCCCTATTCAACTTCATTTGCTATTGCAAAAGGAGTTGTTAAATAATTTTGTGATTAAAAATAGAAGGGTAAAAACAATTACCAAAGTCTTCATTGCAGATTATGGGGAAATATTAATTCAGTATGTTACATACATATGTGACATAAGTGTCAGATGAATTTTCTAGGGAACACTTCTTGCACAAGTTTAAGTGTTAGATGAGAGGCTGCTGATTTTCGCCAGGCCTCCCCCAATTTTGTAATCAGTTTGCCTAGGTCTGTGCCAGAAACTGCCTATAGCAAAGTGTTGTTCCCTGTCTGATGGGAAAGTCATCCTATGTGCAGGAAGACATCAAGGCAGAGTGAACACTGCCTTGACTATGAATAAAGATCTCAAGGTAAGTGCACAGGTTAGAAGTGAAGAGGTATTCCTGGCTGAAAGGAATAAAAATGCCTTTTACTCATCTTACTTACAGAGAGCAAATTTGATCATTCTTCAGTGCTTTGAGTCTTTGGATGAAAGGTCCTTGCCAATACCAAAGTGTTAATTGCAGGGTTGTTTATACCCTCAGAAAACCAGAGACAACCCAGTAAAAATCAAGTGTAAGGACATGGTTAAGGAAACTCTGGCATATCTCATTGATGGAACATTATGTAGCCAAGAAAAGGTTACAAACAATTGTTAATGACATAGGAAATTAAGTGATAAATACAAGACTAAAAACTAGTTGTGTGCAGTGGCTCGTCTTATAATCTTAGCTACTTGGGAGATGAACATTGTGAGGATTGTGTTTAGAGGCCAACCTAGGCAAAAATTTCTCAAGACCCCATCTCAACTAATGGCCGGGCTCTGTAGCATGTGCCCATCATGCAAGCTACATGAGGAAGCACAAACAGGAAGATTGTAGTCCAGGCTGGCCTGGGCATAGAAAACCCTATTTTAGTAATAGCTAAAGCAAAAAGGGCTGGTGCAGTGGCTCAAGTGGAAGAAAGCCTGCCTAGCAAGTATGAGGCTCTGAGTTCAACCTCCCAATACTGCCAAAATAAACAAAAAAACCAAACTACATCTAGTGTGATTTAATTCATTTAAAATAGTATAGAAGTATAGAGAAAGACAAGAAGAACCCAGCAAATGAATGTAATGACCCATAAGTGGTAGAACTGTGGGTGACTTTGTTCTCTTCCTTGGACTTTTCTGTATTTTCTAAATCTTGTACGATGTGCATATAAAATGAATATTACATTCATGATCCTATTACATTTGTTGATGATTTTTTTATGACTAAGTTGTGGTCAGGACTCATAAATGTTCCATGAATGCTTTGTGTGTTTTGCAGAGGACATAGTCTATATTTATCATTTAGCTAAAACTTGTTAATTGTGTCCTCAAATCTGTTTCCTTACTGATTTGTCTGAATGAGCTATCAGTTACTGAGAGTATGTAAATATTTCTCATTATTTGACAGTTTTTCCTTATAGTTCTGTTGATGAGGTAAAGATATAGACAAATTAGAATTGTATCTTCCAGGTAGCCTGAAGCTTCAATCAATGTTGCTATACTGTCTTTTACTTCTAATAACGTTATTATTATTTTTTTTTTTTTGGTGGTGGAAATGGGGCTTGAACTCAGGGCCTTAGGCTTGCTAGGCACGCTGTCTACCATTTGAGCCACTCCCTCCCAGCCCTTTTTGGTTTAGTTCTTTTCTGAATAGAGTCTCAAGTTTATTCCAGGGCTGGCCTGTACCATGACCCTCCTATTTATGCCTCTGGAGTGGTTAGGATGACAGATACACCATATCACACCCAGTTTTTTTCAATTGGTTGAGATCAGGACATGAATGTTATGCCAGGACTGGCCTCAAACTGTGATCTTCTCGATCTCTGACTCCCCAGTAGCTAGAATTACAGGTGTGAGCCACTGCACTCAGGCTAATAAAGCTTTTAGAATCATGAGGTTCCTATCAGGTTGCTTTTTGTTGCACTTTGCCTGATTTTGTTTCTCTTTTAAGGGCTACTTCAGATATTTTAGCATGTAGACTTGAACTTATCACAATGAATTCAAATACCTTTATCCTCACCACCCCCCACCCAAATACCAGGCATTCAGAACACAGTAACACTGTTCCCCACTCTACATTATATGATCTTGTCATTTATCTTTTTTCTGCTTTGGTGGGACTGGGGTTTGAACTCAGGGCTTTGCATTTGCAAAGCAGGCACTCTACCACTTGAGCCACACCTCCAGTCCATTTAGTTCTGGTTATTTTGGAGATGGGGGTCTCAGGAATTATTTGCTTGAGCTGGCCTCAAACCTTGATCCTCCTGATCTCAGCATCCCAAGTAGCTAGGATCACAGCTGTAATCCTAGCTGACGCCTGATTTATCTTTTATTTACTCCTATATTTCTTTTTAATTTCTGTTAAATCTCAGTTCAGCCACCTGGATTTCTTCTGCCTAAAGTAAATACTTGACCTTTTCCTTTAGAGTCTATTGAGGGCAAACTCAGTTTTATGTGTGCCTAAAGTGTCTTTATTTCATACTTAGGCTTGAGAGATTTTTGGTTAGGCATAGAATTTTGTATTTACTTTCTCTCAGTATACTGACGATGTTCCTGTCTTCTGGCTTCCATTCTTGCTAGAGAGGAAGAAGTAAGCTCTCAGCTCATCAGTCTTTTGAAGGTAATCTGTCTCTTTCTCTGGCTGATCCTATTTTTCTTTCTTATCTGTGTGGCTGTGTAATATATCTGTGAATGTGTCTAGGTGTGGATTTCTTTTTATTTTATGTCATAGGGCTTCTGGAGTCATCAGACTGGGCCCTTCATCAATTTTGAAATTTGATTTTTTCATTTAAAATATTGCTTCTGACTACTGTTTGAAATTTGGAATTCTGCCTACATATCATGTTAGACATTTTCAAAATATCTTTCATGTCTCTTCACATCTCTGACATTTTCTGTGGAAAGATCTGTCTGTATTATACTTTGGCTATTTTTCAGATGTATCCAATTGACTGTTAAATCTGTTCATTAAATTTTTTACTTTTAATTAATTTAATTTTCATTTCAAGAAATTCTATTTGGTTCTTTTTAATATTAGCTTGGTCATATTTTAGAGTGTCTAACTCTTGATAGTTTATAAACTTTATTTCTTTAAATATCATAAATACGTATTTTATATTCTTTCCAAAATCTGAATTTTTGGGGCTCTAATTCTGTTGTTTACCTTTTTGTATTCAGAGGCCCTTCATTCCTTGTGTGTCTTATGATTTTTGAATGTAGACACATACTTCTTGGAAATTTATGGTATTCTTTGAAGTCCTAAGTTCCTGGAAGGTTCCCACAGAGGAGGTATGGATATGTTTCTGCAAGGTGGTAAAGGGCACTACCTACTTGAGAAAACATTAAACTTACTTCTTAGCTTGAGGTTTTTGGAATACCCAGGTAGTATAAATTCAGACTGCAAACTTTGCCATGTGTGGTGGTGGGGGCCTGCACTAGGGACTACAGTGAGGCTGAGGCAGAAGGATTTCAAGTTGAGGCCAGCCTGGGCTACATAGTGAGATTTTGTCATAAACAAACAAACAAGCAAATCAAAACAATAACAGATTAAAAATTCTCCTGAGGATGTCCTTAGTTATAAAATTTCAGGGGCGATTACAATTTTCTTCCTCTACTGGGTGTCAAATTTTGAGAGGTATTCTCCTTGCATCTCCTATGGGGTGTCTCTGTGTGTTATTTCTACTTTAACACTGAGTCTTAGGTACCTTGGGGCTCCAACTCCAGCTGAATGGTATATTAAATTTTATAACTTGGTGAGGCCCTGGGCTTTGTTTCCTGTCTTTGTGAGCCCACAAACTGTGTGAGATTGAAGTTCAAATTTACCTAGTTCTCAAATGCCTTGAAGGTAAAACTTTACTTCCATCACTTTCCCCTTTTGGGTCTCTCCCAGGCTGTCCTCAAACTTGTGATCCTCCTGCCTTAGTTTCCTACATGCCAGGATTACAGGTGTGAACCACCCCGCCAGGCTTTGGGCTTCCATTTTATGTACTTTTTGTGTTTTGATTTTTTTTTTCCAAATCTTTATTTTTAAGCTTTGTCCAGAATTCTTAGCTATTTGCAATTAGAGTGAATGTAGTCTGAAACAGAAGCCTATTACTTTTATAATTATGAAAATATGTCTATATGTTAACTTTTAATGATCATATTATTAAAAGAGCAAACACGAAATAAGCTTCTTTACAAAGGATTTGTGTGGTTGTCAATTTCTCATAAGGCCTTGGAACAAAGTGGAAATAGTATAGAAATGGGAAGTCTGGTCTATGATGTTTCTGGCTGTCTTACTTCTATATCAGACCAGACTCTGACAGGTTCTGCCAGTTTCATGTCACATACCATTGTATTTAGGTATGTTTAGTGAATGTATTAGAAATGACAAAGACCTCATCATGAGTGTCGTCACCCATGGATTCCAAGGCTACCTTACAATACACTTCAAGGAGACCTTATAATACAGAGCAACCACAGTGCTGTGTAAGAGCACAGAGGACGGTGAGGGGGCTGGGTGTTGAAAACTACAGAAAATATCCAAACCTCACGTTAGGGCCAAGACTCTGTCCTTGAACACTGGATCAGATTTGTTGATAGATTATAATTTTTTTTATGTTTCCATTGTCTGACGAGGGGATGATAGAGGAAGAGTAAAGTATGAAGGGAGATTAAAGCCACCCACACCAGGTCCTCAGATTTCGAGATGATATTAACCATGGAGTGCTGCTATTCTCCCAGGTCAGGATTTCTGGGTACAGGCTCCCAGGATGACCTTGATTCCCCAACATTCCCCAACTCTTCACTGTCTTCAGATGCTGTTGGAAAGAGTAAGGGAGAGGGATTAGGTGTGATATATGATTTTGGAAAGCAACAAGTAGCAATTTCTTTAAGAGGAGTTTTTTCTTTTTTGGCTTTGCTTCAAAATTTAGTAAGCTTTTTAGGCTTGATGGAGCCTGAGAATTAGAGCTGCATTTGTTTGGCTTATATTTCATAAAGTCTCTTAAAATGGAAATATCACTGGGACTCAAATGGCTGCTGCTTGAGCAAGGAACTGCCAAATCAGTGGCACTGACCTTAAGAAGTTTAGGACTGTGGCAAACCAGAGAACGCAGCCCTGTCCACAGGGGGAGCTGCTGCAAGGCTTGGCCAGCTGCTTAAATGCAGGAATGTGGAGCCTGTGATGTTTTCAAAGGCACAAATCAGCATTTATGAGTAATGTCATGGTTTTAAAGTGTTAGTAATTAATCCCACATTAAAAAAAAAAAAATCCCAAAACCAACCCCAGAGAGAAGGCCAAACAAAACACATGCATGGGCTAGGGTACAGTCCATGGGCCTCCAGTTTGTGACCTTTGCCTTGGACTTTACTGTTCACTAGACACACAACTGTGAGGGAATTTATCACAGCCTTTGCTACAGCAGGTTTTCAGGCAGAGCCAAGAGGAGAAAAGAAATGAGGGACACCCATGCAGAGCCTAGGCAGGGAGGAGAAGCAGGGGGAGGCAGAGGAGCTTTGTATCTGAGTAGACTGGGCTGTGAGAATGCCCAGGGGTGTTCACTCCTCTCCCCAGTGAACAGGAGTGAACAAGAGGAACCTACTGTTTTGGGAGCTGCTAACTCCACATGTGAGCCTTTCTAACCAGGCTTTCCGTGTGGAATTCAAGAGAGAAGGTAAAAAGTATTTTAGGAAAGGATATGCACTATCCCTGAAAGATAAATCAGTTGACAACACTCATTTACATAAAATAAATGAAAGCTACACGTAGGTGATTCTTTGGTAGTCATTGATTAAACAGATCTCCAAAGACTTCCACCAGACACAACAGTCCTTTGTCTTGTTAAAGATATCCAGTAACACATCATTTTAGCTTATTTCTATGGACTTTTTACCAAGCTCTGAACATGGGAGCTTATGTTGTACTGAACCTGTTCATGCTCCTCGGGTGGCTGCAAATGGGATTATTCCTCTGCTCCCATGTTTGTAAATGTAAATTCTTTATGAGCTTATCACAATATCTCCCCCCCACCCCCAAAAGGACAGCCCTTGCTACCTCAAGGAGGAGGAGATACAGAGATCACAGCCATAGAGACCCTCCAGATGTGCCCAAGAAGCTGCCGTTCAGTGCTGGGGAGGACTGAGCCATGTTGCTGGGGTTTGCAATGATGGGCTTCTCAGTCCTATGTTCTTCTTGCTTGGAACAACCACTCTGAAGCCTTTCATGCTCAGGTAAGAAAGAGACACAAAGGCTATAGTTTCCAAGTCGATGAGGCCCAGGCAAAGGGGGAAGGCTGACCATGGTTTCTCCATTCTTGGACCTCCTGACAGTAGTCTAGGACAGGGAAGATGCAATCATCTGTGTCTCCATTCATGCAGGGAAGAAGCTCGGTGTAGAGAACAAGGTGGTAAGAAAGTGGAAGATATTTCTTCACTCCCGCTTCCCAAATCTCATAATTCACATATACCTTTATCCATAATCTACAAATTGGATATTCATTCAGGTCACACATTCTCCCTTTAAAATGTTGATTTCCCAGGGAAATGCTGTACCTTCTGGGTGAACAGAATCAAAGTTTTTGAATTTGACAGTGTCTGCTTGGTACATAATAGTTGCTCAGTGAGTATTAGTTTCCACCTTATCAAGTACATGTAAAAGCGAGAGATGCTTTCACTTTGGACATCCAGAGAGCAGCAGAAGTCCTAGGGGAGAGGATTCCAGTGCGGGAAACGTGATAGAAAGATCATAGAAAATGGAGTGTCCTACTTTTGTTATTTTCATATTCATCTCCTGCCATCCCTTGGTTACCAGTGTTAAGGGGAAAGGTAGAGGTCACCATCCACTATAGTACAGAGTGTCATTATTAAAAGGGGAATTTTCTCTCTGGTATAAATACCAGGATAAATTGTTCTGCTTTTTATCAATAAGCTTACATTTACTCAATAGATAAAGGAATCTTGCATCTAGTTGTATTTTCTTTATTGTTTTGGCTGCTAGGAAGCTCACAGCCAGATTTGTAGCTTGGTTCTCTTAACTATAAGGTCCAACAGCTGTTCAATTAGAGGTTTGTATTTTACTCCCGAGTTCATTCTAGCTTTTTCTCCTCCTTTTCCTATTATTCAATTTTCCTTGTCTATGTATTTTTATACATACAGCCATGTTACATTTATCCATATACATTGAATAAATGAGTGCTTGTGTGCGCATGTGGCTGGGTCAGATTTTTTTTTAAAATATGTGGTATATTTGAGAGATGGTTTAAGGATGTCTGCTGTAGGTCAGCATCAAACTGTTGTTCAAATAAGTTTTACTTATCTAAGCATTTCTCAAAATTGTTTGGTTAAAGTAATTAAGTGAATGCGTAAGGGTGGCCAGCGTTCATGCCTCATCATCTTGAACCATCTTAGAGAGAAGGTTTTCCACAGAAGATAATCGTTAACAAGGCTTGGGTAAAGCCAGGCATCATGGCTCACACCTGGAATCCCAGCTGCACAGGAGGTAGGGGTAGGAGGATTGAAGTCTGAGGCTTGTCTGGGTAAAAGTATAAGACCTATCTGGAAAACAAACTAAAAGCTAAAGAACTGGGCTGTGACTTAGGTGGTAGGTGCTTAGCGAATGTGAGGCCCTGAGTTCAACAGCCCTCATCTTCCACTCAAACTGTGGATTTTATCACAGCAGTAGACAAATAGACACATGATGCTATTGGAGCAACATAGTCATTTTTCAACCCTAAATATATCCTTGGTTCCACCTGGAAGGCTCTGGCCTGGTCCTTGTACATAGAGCAGGATGTCATACTCTACATGGGGACTTTCTGAAATCCAAGAGAGATTCAAATCACAGTTAGTTTGTACTTGGTTTAGATTTAGAGAACTTAAGGTCTCTTAAGGCAATTCTAAATAGTATTTCAAAATGCCTAGCTTAAATAGATAATTTAGTGATGAAAAGTAGGCCAGAGCTAAACCTATGAAAGAACTTTATTTTCCAGTTTTGTAATTTTCATTTGCCCAACAGTTTTCTTAGGCCTCCTCCAGGGACTGCTCTTTACTTTGTTTTGGAGAACTGCAGTAATTTTATTTTAACAGTATCCATATTGCTTTTCTATGCTGCTGTAACAAGTTACCATAAGCATGGGGACTTAACACAAGCTTATCACCTTGCATTTCTGTAGGTCCAAAGCCTGACACAAGTGTCACTAGGCTGACATCAAGGTGTCAGCTGGGCCACATTCTTCTCTGGAGGCTCCAGAGAATCTGTTTCCTCTTCCTTTCCAGCTTGTCCTGGCTGTCCCCACTCCTGGCTTGTGTGGTCCATCCTCTCCATCTTTGAAACCAGAAATAGCAGGTCAAGCCCCTCTTACACCTCATGCCACAGCACTCTAATATCACTTCCACCATCATATCTCTTGCTCTCCACCTCCAGTGATTTTTATGCCCCGGGCCTTGAGGTCAGGTTAAACCATATAGTATGCCTCAAGTTTATTAAATTAGTAAGAAAAATGTTTATAGTCAATGAATGATATTAATGAGAATGCACTATGACTGTAAAGATTGCTGATCCAACTTCTTGTTTAAGCAAAAAATAAAGGAAATAAGGAAATAAACACAGAGGCCCACCTAGATGTGAGTGAAGGATACATGAGGAGCTGTTCTCAGCATTTCCTCACCCTCATTTACATCACCTCTGACTTATTCTCAAATTATTTCACATATGTAGGTCCTTTCTCAACACCACCACCAGTTCTTTATGGCAGGAGCTCTGTTCACCACTTCTGTAGCATCTAGGACATTCTGTGTGTGTGGTACCTATGCAAATCCTCAAGGATTGTTTTCTAAGTAAAATTTAATTGAGTGCAACACTTATGGTGCATCTAGCTTGTGAGAGGCAGTGTGCCTTATGGTTCAAGGGGCATAAAGACGAATAGGATATAGCTCCTGAGTTTAAGGAACTTACTGACTGCAAAAACAAGGTAAATATTCTAATAGAGAATCCCTACATGCTTGCATTTATTTGACTCTTTGACTCTCTGAAGCACAGTGGGTATATGAAATTGTACCTTCTGCAGGCTGTGGTACTCCTTCCAAAGCCATGTTTTCATCAGGACAAGCCTGTGGGTATATCTCAAGATGATGAAATATGAGAGATAATTCCCAATGTAATTCTTGGTGGTACAGGAACATTACTCAGAGGTGGTCTCTCCAGATACTATTAAATACCATTAAATATACAAAATTCCCCAGCCTCAACTCAGACTTGAGCCAGAATCTCTAGGACGGAGGCCCTGGAATCTACATTTAACAGATGCATCATGTAACAAATGCATTCAGGTGATTCTGAAGTCTGAAATCCACAGTCTAAGGGAGTCTCGGGTTGGTACAATGAGAAATAAGCCAGTAGGATTGGGGCTGAGATTGAACTTGGCAATTTGCTGCTGTTGATCCCATTTCTACGTCTTCCATACTTCCTGATCATTATGGGACTTCTACATTAATAACAATCCTACATCATTTTGAAATGGACAAATGCCTTGGGCTGCCTCAATAGAAATGCAGAACTAAATTTTCTAGTAGGTGAAAAACATGTATATATATATTTTTTGCATTGAAGCATGCAGAGAGAAGAAGTGAATTGTACCACTATCCACACACATATCATGGAGGACTGGCTGAACTGTGCTTTCACCTGTGGTGTGGACTGCCATGGGCAGGGCAAGTACCTGTGTCTTCAGGTGTTTGTGAACCTCACTCATTCAGGTCAGAAGGCTCTCCTACATTATAATGAAGAGGCTGTCCAGATAAACTCCAAGGTAATGTAGAGTTCTTGCTACCACCATCCTTCCATGGTTGACTGTCCTGGATAGGGCGCAGCATTTAGACTACAGGGATAAATGTTTCCTTCTAGTGAACATTTTTGTAGTGGTCCAATCAGGATAAATGAACATAAAAGCATTGTTGGAAGAGAAATGGGATATATCAAAGGAAATGCTTTATTCCAGCTTCCTAATGTGGTGTCTGAGATCTGCAGCCAGGCAATGGGCAGTCTCCCTTTAGAAACTCCTCCTCCCTATAGTAGCAACATTAGAATGCACTCACAGCCTACCTTTAGTCAAGCAGGCAGTTTTTCTTGAGGAAATTTAAAGAATTAAGTTACACAACTTAATTTTTAATATGGTTTAGAGCTTATATTTACACTTAATTATAAAATTTGTATCATGTCATGCTACACTTTGGTGTCTTTAATTATGCACTCATTTTAATATCATGTGTCCTGTTTTTGATTTTGGATGCAACAATTTCTAAGGTCTCAAACATTTTTATAGTCCATTAGCACAGTGCTCCCAGTGCGTAATGGATATGGTAACAAACCAAGTTTTTGGCCTAGTACCTGGAAATGGCCATTAGCTCTGTAATATTTGACTACCTTCCAACATTGAAAGGTCCCACTCATAGCATTAGCCTAAGGTTTTCTCAATTAAAACTGTTAAGTACTCAATATTGGTGACAGCACCCTTATGTTTTTTCCTCCTCCACACTCCTAGTGCTTTTATACACCCAAGTGCCACCAAGATAGGAATGATTTGCTCAACAGTGCTCTGGACGTAAAGGAATTCTTCGATCACAAAAATGGAACTCCTTTTGTGTGTTTCTACAATCCAGACAGCCAGTCTGAAGATGTCATTCTCATAAGAAAGCCTGACCAAATGGTTGTCTTCCACTGTTTATTTTGGCCTTCACTGACTCTGCTTGGTGGTGCCCTGATTGTTGGGATGGTGAGATTAACACAGCACCTGTCCCGACTGTGTGAAAAATACAGCACTGCAGAGAGGAGGGAGGTGGTAGAGCCCCCGTTTGCAAGACACCACCAATTCAGACTGTATGGGATATGGGGAAGAGCAAAGGAAGGAGCACAGAGAGCTTAAAATGGTGACCAAACTAAAGCACTGGCCTTCAGACACTGCAGTTTAAGACTTAGTTATGCTTGTTTGCAAGCTAACCATGTAAAGGGTTAAGTATCATTTTCATGTGGAGAAACACTTTTAAAAAGCTGCATTATATATTCTATAAATATGGATAAATTCACCATTATTTTTTCTACTCCAGCTTTCCTTCCACATGGACCAAGGAAGCACAGAGCAAAATGTGTTCGAAGTCATTATTCTTTATCTAGCATCAGCTTTATCCAGAACATGTTAGTATGAAAACAATGAGGAAGGCGTCTAGTCTATTGAGCATGCAAATTATCAGCCTAACTCTGCAGTACAGTTCACGTGAAAACAGTCCTCATAAAAAAGTTCTTAGTGAAGAGCAGTTCACTACAAACACTGTAGAAAATTTAAGAAAACTTAGGCCTGCCATTTCTTTACCATTCTTAACACAAGGAACATTCAGTAAGCTCATAGTTATTTGTACTTAACCTTGTCATGTGCCATGTAATTTTTCTTACAGTAACATTTTTCTAGTCAATTATGCTTTCGTTAAGCCCGTTTTACTCTTTGTGCACTTCTGGTGGGAAGAGAAGAAATGACTAGAAATGTGTCTCAAAGGAGAAGCTTACTTGATTTCAACTTTCACCTCAGATAATACACATTGTAGAAAAGTTCCACATTGATAGTCAAGTTGTCTACACTTTAATGAATTAACCATGATTATTAAATAATGGTGTAGTAAGACTTCCAGCAAGTGCTTTCCAGATTCAGTTGAGTGCAACTTGAAAACAGACTGCTCCGGTTTTCCAATGTGCCTCAAATTATCTTTCAATTTTTTTAAAAAGGGGCTAGTGGAGTGGCTCAAGTGGTGGAATGCCTACCTAGCAAGCATGAATTCAAACCCCAGTGTCAACAAAAAACTTTTGTTTTACTAAAAATTCTTAAGTCATGGACAATAGAAGGAATGAGACTTTTGAAACAACTTTTATAGGTAAGTGTAACCAAACCATGCTTTGATCCTATGTCAGTTTAATGTCTTTTAGAAATTAATTTCAAGAAACAAATAAACTGAGTAACTAAGTAGAGCAATACTGACCAGTAAATAACAATCTTGGTGTCTCACCCTTTTGTGTGGAATAGTGGAGAGAACATGTCTAAAAGTAGGATTCATTTCAGTTTGCAGGCCATAGTTACAACTTTTTAAATCTTTAACCTCCTTATTTAATTTTAAGACATAATCAAGGTAGGGCATGTGAAATACCTAGCTTAGTTCCTGATGTCTAGTAGAGGTGTTCAAAATGTTAGTAGTTAAGAAGACCTTGTGCTGCATTGTGCAGTGGGTACAAGGTAGGGTGAAGAGAGGAGGTTCTCAGCCCTGCCCCCATTCTCTTGGCTAATATACATCCGAAGGCACAGAACTTGCTATTTAAAGTTCTGGGAAATTATTTTGTAAACCAAAGACTTCCCTGTAATAAAATATATGCATGCATCCACATTTTAAATCATTCTGAAAATGGAAATTCTGTAGGTTTCTTAAATTAAGGACACAGCTCTATTCCATTTCTTAGTAAATTTGACTACCACCTTAACAATATGCAATGCTTGTGATTTTTCTCCTCTAACAAACTCAGAACTGTTAATTTGAAGCCTAAAGTGGGCATTTCAATTACTGCAGTTTTCCATTTGGGTAGTGGCTACTTGAATCATCCCAGAAACAGAGACATTATAGTTGGGGAACAGTCAATTTAAAGTTCAAGCCATTTGGCAAATGAATAAAATTTAAGCAATGATATGTTTAATTGTTTAAAAGTATTTAATAATCAATCCCCATGTGCATTCCTGGTCAAAGAAAGGCTCAGCCTTACCTCTTGCAATGTTTAGTGATAAACCAGCTTGTTTCCAGCCTAACTTCACTTTTAGATACTGGTATTTAGCAGACTTGTGGAAAAAAAAAAAGTGCATTTGCCCATAACTAGGCATACATACATTCATACCCATATGTATATACATATTTCTGCTTAAAATACAAGTATGTAATTCTTTATGCTTTAAAGAAGTTAACATACATTTCTTTAATATTACTTTACCAGAGCAGAAAAATGGGCTTTTACAGCATAATAGTTTAAGGTTTTCAATCAAGTATTTGTAGTCATTTTTGAAAATAACTCAAATTTAGTTTGATTTTGATTATTAGCAACACTGATTTGCTCTGCAAAAGAAACGGCAAAGTAGAATTATCATAGCTTTTTGTTTACATAATACACTAAGGATCGTTTGGACACAAGTCAAAGTTATTTTCTTCTTCTTCTTTTTTTAATAAACAGCATGATGTTACAGACTGCAAAGTTAAAAGCAGACATTGACAGTTTCTGAGAAGCACAAACAGTAAGTGCAGTCACAGGCCAAACTTCTTGCTAAGAATAGCAAGACTGGGAAGAGGTCTTAAATTTAGTGATACTGTATTATTCTATATTCTCAATATAATAACACATGCATCTTGCTGTGTCAAATACTTTTTTGGGCCATTGTTAAAAGAACATTAGAAACATTTTTTTCTATCTAGCGCATTATACCACAGGACTTCAATTCATTGAATGAACAAAATATAAAGAAACAGACTTGCTACAATTAATGGGGCTAAGAAGGGTGGCTTAAGTTCCTTGCTGAAGTCTCCGAAGTGAAGTTGAAGCTTCAGGCATTTTGATGTGTCAGTAGTGCTTCTTTTGGTGGTGCTATATTCCCCAAGATATCAAAGTGTTGTGTTCCAAAAGGACACATTCTTTTAGATTTTACTTAATTAAATCAAGTTCAAAGACTTAAATTACATAGAATTCATTAATTGTATTTAAAACTTGGGTTCTCGGGGATGGGTGTGGTGGTGTATCCCTGTAATCCTAGCACTTGGGAGGTGGAGGCAGGAGGCCAGCTTGGGCTGCATGGCTAGATGCTATTTAAAAAAAATCAAAACAAAAAACTCCAACAAAACAAAACAGAACAGAATTTGGGTTCCCTAACAAAAAATATTTCTATAAATCAGATAAATGTGAGTTTTCCAACAGTTCTTAGGAACATAAATAAAATCTGCTAAGGGACTTTTCCTTAGGAAATCAATAATGACCATTTTTAGAAACTCACTAGAATTAAGGAGTTTAGTAAAAGATATTTTAAACATGAAACACCGAAGCTTGCTAACCTAGAGGGCTCAACAAAAATAAGAATACTTAAAAATATACACGGTCCTCTCACAAAATTATTGTAGCGACAGGTTGAATGAGGTTGCAGTCATAGACCACTTGGCTTACAAAATGTACTTAAAACCTTTTTCTATACTTACCAACATGAAGAATGGAGTCTACTGTTGGTAGTGAAAGTCAGTTATACCTAACTAATTATAGACACAATGGGCTAAACTTGGCCCTCCCCCCCACACTTAAAATCCTTAAATATTTGTGTAAAAACTAAGTCAGAAAATATTCTTATGGCTTACATCTGCCACTTTCTGCTAACTAGAATGATTGAAATATTAATATATTTAAAACCAAGCAAAAGGAATGGTGCTGCACTGATAAAAAAGAAGGGCAAAACCTTAATTGAGTGGAACACTTGAGAGAAATAAATAAGTTTAAAGACTAGCTTCCTAACTTGGGAGACTCCTAACAATTTCTAAACTCTTCTGAATTTTAGAAAGTTGATAGATGTTTACACCTTTTATAAAAGATCCCTCTTGACTAGGGTTAGCAATGTGTGCATGCGTGCAAAAATATACACAACAAATGCACAAATAATGAAGAAAAGACAACAGAATGAATTTTAAATGGCAATTCGAAGAACCTAGTACCACGAACCTCTCTGCACTATAGCCTTTTCCAAATGGCTGGAGAAAAGATTAAATTCTAGCCCCAGTTTTTTCTTAATGTCTTCTGTCCCATAAAAAAAAAGCATGTAAATTCTGACTATAAACCTAAAATATAGTGCTCTGCAAAATTTTTGTAACATGAGAGGCTGAAGTATTGAATTGTAACTCATCTATTTTTTTCCCTATAAGCCTTCTGAGGTAGAGCTGACCAATCCAATCTTATCAGGACCATAGTTATTTTAAGCTAAATCCCATTATCTTTTCAGAGAATGAAAATAATTTTTTATAAGGAAAGAAAACAGGCTTCCCAGGCCTTGGCACATAAGATCCATTTATAATTTTGATGTAACAATTAAAATGGTTTTGTGTTGTACTTTTAAAAGCAGCCCGGCTGTGTTATTGTATCACCAAGAGTTCCTATCTGAGGATGCTGTCAGGGTGCATGCTATAGCTCAGCCTTCACAATCTCATCCTTGGTAAGACAGTTAATTCCTTCATGTATGCACAATGCATTCTCACAACTATTCAGTTTCCTTTAGACTTCTCCTCCAAGCAGGACAGATATAAAGAATACAATTCACTTAAACTACTCCTTTGTTCTGCCCCCTCCCTTCACATTCCATCTCAAAACATGACAACATGAGAGTTGTCTTTAAATGGTAGAAGCACCACAATTTATGATACCACATATTATCTTTGAGTATTTTAGTGAGGTCTTGGACATCAAAATAATTGTTAAAGGTGGTTTCTGAGTATGTGGGTCCAGCCCAGGTCTGCAGGTTGTACAGACGTAGAGAACAGAGGAACTTGTAATATTCAGAAAAGATAACAGATTAGCTTTAACATACTGCTGGAAATTAAATTTCTCCAAAAAGCTGACAAACATGGGCTATGGACCACAACATGAATTAAACAGATTTGCAAAATCATTATCGAAAGAAACAGATCCAAGTTTATGTGCTGTGAGATTTCCATGGTACCTTTAAAATAGGCTTACAATTTTTTGCTTAAATAATGCCAAATCACTCAGTTTTTGATGGAAGAAGAACACAGATGGACTATGCTTTACCTGTGTGAAAATCACCAATCCATTTAAAATAAAATCCAAGAGGCTATACACAGTCTAATCAAGTTATCATTTTCCTGATTAATAAGAACTACACTTTACACAAAATACTTTATCAGCAGCTGTTTTCATCAAAAAACCAATAGTCATAGTTTCACAGTTGAAAAAGTTACACATTAAAATATTTTACAA